CTCCTTCGGTCTCGCCGACCCCCTCTTGACCTTCCCCTGGACCCAAGGGTGTGCCATGCAAATTTTGGCTGCTTTAGCTCTTACAGGGACTGAATGCATAGAGAACAAACAAACAAACAAACAAACAAACAAACAAACATACAAACAAACTTTCTTCTTTATATATATAGATCTGCGCTCGTAAGGCCATGTTCAGAATCACGCGACATCTATTGAACTGCAAAGACATTGCATGAAATCGTATTCAACGGATAATCAGAAAGAAAAGAAAAATCTTAAAAAAAAAGTTATTGACGGCGGCCAATTTTGGCAGGTAACTTCTTACAATCAATTGCACAACACATCACATCACAGTATAGAGCATATACAAATAAACATACGATAGAAATGAAAAAGACATTCATGATTCTGCTCTAAACAAAATCGTCGAAATAACTCATATTAATCAAGTAATTAGAAATAAGATTGCTTTTTTATTCGTAAAAAATTGTATCTATAGCTAGACGTTTCAATTTATTTGCTAAATTTTCATCAGTAGCCAGACAATTTAGCAAATAAATTGAAACGTCTAGCTATAGATACAATTTTTTACGAATAAAAAAGCAATCTTAATTCTAATTATTTAATCCTTATTCGTATACAGAATCTCAACAAAAATAAATAAATATTAATCAAGATATTTGTCGCTATGTTTACCATGGCAAATCGAGTGAATTTAATTACAATTAATAAGTATTTTTAGCACAAGTTATGAAAATTTAAAATTTAATTAATTGATTATACAAGACTGTTATGAAACAATAGAACATAACTGTCTCAAATATTGTGACTAAATGAAAAGGTTTTCTTTCACTCTGTGCGCGATCTTATGTTGAGTCTAAGTTTGACCGTGTTTTTCTGTCACCTCTGAATTCGGTCTTTCTTTTTGGATGCCAAGTCGAGTTTTCGAGAAACAAATGAAAAACTAGATCCTTTTGGGAACGGTATCTCACACTAAGTTAACTCTAAACATAAAAGACCATTTTCCTTTTAATCACGTTCTCTTTTCGTCTAGATTTATTTTCCTTATGATGTATATAGAATATTTTTCTCTTTAAAGAATAAAATAATAAATCATCCAAATTTTATATTTTCATCGAATGTTCATCTATTATATGAGTGCGCAAGGAAGAGAGTGCTCACTCTAAAATTCTTTCATATTGTGCCAACTTTGCCGGTTAAAATTCCATTAATTAGAAAAGTTCTAGCTCCACTTTTATACTAGTTTGAAATCCGATGCCCTTTCCGATGTCAGTGAAAAGTGGCTTCAAGAGAATGGCATACATCGCATCCAAGAGTAAAGTTTTGCTCTTGCTTTCCAGTATCACTTAAGAGAGAGCACACACTGTTATTTCTCTTTAAAAGCATCGAATATAAAATTTCTTTAAATCAACAATTTTTTACGCCAATGGTATTCAACTGAAGGGATTACGGGAATTACGAAAAGGAAAGTCAGAAAAGCTCCCCATAAGTTTGTAGCTGATACTTGGGCCTATCTAATGATGTATGAATCTGAGGTCTGTCCCTTCATCCAAAAAACTAGATAGGTTTTCGAGAAGAGAGAGAGGCTTAGATTTCGAGCAATGTCTGTTTCAACTTTGGCAAAAGGTTGCTTTTGAGTTTAAGGACTTGAAAAACAGATATCTAGATCCAGTTTTCAACAGAGAATTAGCAGAAAAAGGTGTCAAAAATCTGAATAGTGACTAGAAGCAACCATGGAGCTTTTTCAAAAAATGAACGAATTTTCGTTTTTTGAGACTCTCTCAATATTTCGGATTTTTCTTCATGAAGAACATGAGTAACTGAGCTGTTATGATATTATTCCTGATCAGCTCGTTCAGACGAATCAGAATATGTATAATAAATCGAAAACTAAACGTCACTGTAAATAAAGCCGCAAACTGGAAATTGCTAAACAATAATTATAGTAAGATTTCATTTGATATATGCTACGAAATTATACTAACATTAATAAACAAGCAATTGCGATTGAGAAAATTCTTGTAGAACAGGTCAACCCAGTAATACCGAACAAGGTTATTACTCTGAAGCTAAGAGGTAAAATTTGGTTCATTGGTAAAATCATTAGTAAACCTAAATTACGGAGTAAAAGTTACTATAAACAAGCCATTAGCAAATTTCATAAAGCACGTCTTCAAGCGAAAGCAGAAATTCAAAAAATAAATCATAAAGTATCAGTTTCATCCAATAACTACTGTAATGGTCACTTGTGAAATATACAATGAGTCGTGATCGCCCGACAGCAATTCGAGCCCTAAAAGATAAAAGTGGAGATGTTAAGGTAGATGTTCAGAGTAAAGTTGAAATTTCAAATACATATTTTGCTAATATTTCTATAATCAATTAATTAAATTTTAAATTTTCATAACTTGTGCTAAAAACACTGTTATTGTGACACGTAGAATCTTTTTGTATAGAAAGCAGTAAGAGCCTCCCTATAAAAAACATGATTGTGTTCTGTTTCCTTTACAATTTATTAATATGAATATAAAACTGGGAATTCTTTATAAATTCTGATTCAATGTGAGAGTTTAGTAAGCTATAATAGAAAATATCTTCTTTTGCCATTTTGAACTTGATTTTTATGTGTTGTTCGTGCGTGCAATTGATACATTTTAAAATAGAGATGAATCGAAACTAGAACGAAAAAATTTACTTTATTTTGTTGCATCTGTACAGCGAATAATTTAAAAAAAAATTATGCCGTAACCCGGGATTGAACCAGGGACCTTTAGATCTTCAGTCTAACGCTCTCCCAACTGAGCTATTCCGGCTGGAGGTTATTCCTAATACCCGGGACATTTAGATCATCAGTAGGCCCATCCGGCGGTAAATTATAAACGAACGTTTTCATGCGTCTTTCTTGCATACAAGTCCATCTCTTGTGCCTTTGTAGAACAATTCGCAAAGTGTTTATTCTAACTGAACTCGGGTTCCAATAAATTTTGGCGAAAAAAATCCGCTACGAAAAATGTTCCGATAACTATTTTTTAAGCAATTTTGACTCTAAAGTTAAATATAGCATTAGAGCCTCTTCTCGCTCAATAGAAATCAAAATCAGAGTAAAACTTCTACAAAAATTCTGAAAGCAGTAATCGATATTAAAAAAAGGGTCTTCAAAGATGGACTGCATACTCAAAGAGGAAGATAGATATTGATCTTATTGTGTCTTTATTGGATTAATCAGCTCTTTAGCTTCATTTTTATCTATATTATTACTTCTTTCGAGTTTTCATCTATTTTTGGCTGAATGGACTTATCTTCAACGTTCTTTTTAACTACTTTTGTTATATCTTAACATAATTTCCGATGGTTTTCTATATCGCTTGCTGATCTATCAGAATAGGATTTTCCACATGTAATAAAATACCAGTCCTGGTTTTCCCAAGACCCTCTGAAAAAACCGGCTTTAAAAAAGATTTTCATAATGACTTTTGTTATGAAAAGATATGATCAGGTCTTGGTTTTCAAGTACTGAAGACTGCAAGTATCTACTAGTTTCCTGCCAAATGTTACTCAAAAAATATCTGAGTCCAGGGACAGATAATAGTCATATTTCCTAAGCGTGGTTTAGACTACATTCGTTTATCGAAGGAAAAGGGATAAGGTTCTTGGCGAAAACTCGACTTTCTCACGAAGAAAGATGAACTTGTGAAGAAACACCAAGTTTTTCAATAGAAAAGATGAAGTTACGGCGGAGCACGAAAAGAGCTGGAATTCTTGAGAAAAAACATCGAATCTCTCATAAAAAACAATGAGGTTCTTGTGAACAAACATTAAGTTCTTAAGCACAAAAGACGAAGTTCTTGTGATAAAACATCAGCCTCTTCAACAAAATGAGGACGTTCTTGTGAAAAAACATCAAGGTCCTAAGGAGTAAATATGAAGTTCTCGTGGAGAAACATCAAGTTCTTGAGCACAAAACGCGAAGTTCTTGTGAAGAAACATCGGTTTTTTCAATGAAAAAGATGTTACGGCGCACCACGAAAAAAATGAAATCCTTGAGAAGACACACCAAGTTCCCGAGGAGTAGCTATGAAGTTCTCGTGAAGGAACGTCGAAGCTCTTAGGAAGACGGATGAGGTTCTTATGAAGAAACATCCAGGTCTTCACGACTAAAGATGAAGTTTTAGTTCTTGAGGAACCAATATGAAGTTTCTCGGGAGAAATATCGACTTTTTCACGAAGTAAGATGAAGTTCTTTTGAAGTAACACGAAGTTCTTGTGACGAAACATCAAGTTCCTAATGAGTAAATATGATGTTCTTTTGAAGAAAGATCAAGCTCCTGAGCACAAAACACGGAGTACTTGTGACGAAACATCGACTTTTTCAATAAAAGAGATCAAGGTACGGTTCTTCTGAAAAACATCCTCATCCTTTTTCCTGAGAGGTTCGATGTTTCTTCAGCAGAATGCAGTAGAATTCGTCGCATATTTCTTCTTATACAGAGATGATTATACGTGTTCCTATAGTTGTTTTGTTAGCGAAAATGTTCGGAATCAAGTAAGAAAACACAGAATCAAACTCGATCCTTATATCACATGACTATTTTGCTTATTTGCAATCAAAGAGTTAAAAGGACGAGCAAGTCACCTGGTTATCTGAAAAACTTCAAAGAGTCTGTCCAACATTTTGTGCAAACGGCATGACGTACTACGTCTGTAGCAGAATCACTAAAAAACATAGATAAATTAAAACTTAAAAAAAATTGTTTTCCCTAAAATGTTGACTCATCAGAAATTCATTTTTAGACTTTTTTATCTGCACTAATAAGCTTTTTCTTAAATTTTATTTTAAAAACAATCTACAATCAATAACACATATCATCACATAACGCACACAGTGAGCTAGAACAGTGACTCTCAGTTGTTATTAAATATTGAATAAATCGTTCTCGTCTTGCTGGATGTACCATGGTAGACAATAGTGAAATACAAATACCTGATGGCAAATATTGATTTATTTGATTTGGTTCTATAGAGAGAAGTGCATCTCCCGATAGACGAACATATCCATATGTTCCCCAACTATAATCATACAATCTGGGGCCGTCAAATGTTAAAGTTTGTATCTTATCGGAATCACATTCAATACTAATTTGTTCTCGATGCATCTCAAAACGAGAACTACCGTAATCACCTACCAACAATGTTATTAACATTTGTGTTCGTGATCTTGAATTTTCTAATCCAATAACAATTAATTTAGCTGTATATTTATTTGGAGATTCCAAGATATCTTCATTCAGATAATAATAATATGAATTTAACAGTATATAATGTATTTGTGATAAAATCAATGGTTCAATAAATTGATTTTGTTTTGTCAAATTTTCCCATAATTCTACAACTGAATTGGCTTTTATTTTTCGCAATTGCATTGTTGTATCAATCAACTTCAATATTTCATCTTCATTGTCAAAAGAAGATAAATTATCACATTCTAGTTTCCAAAAATAAAGAAGTTTCCAACGAGATATTTGTGAATATTGAGAAAATTGTCCTTTACTACCAAATCGAAACAAATAAAGTTCTTTCCAAAATGAATCTTGTTTTAATATAGTATACCAATGTTTACATACAAGTTTTAATGAATGAAAATCAGTTGTATCAGTAATGAAACTTAATATATTGTACATGACTAATTCTGGTAATTCTTGAAATAGACGTTGATTTTCAAGTGTAACTTGAATCGATGTAAGCGGAAGTAAAATATTTTGTTTATATTTTCTATAAAATACATATATATTGTAAATATCAAGCCAGTTGTCAATGGTAAAATCAGCAAGCCAAAGTGGATATTTTGTACAAATTTTTTCTAAACCGATTAGAATATCATTGTCTGATGACGATGATGCTACCGCTAATTGATAAACAAATAAAATTTGTTCATCTTTCAACAATAACGTAAAGAAATCATTTCTTGTCAGTGTTGATTGTTCATTCAATTTCATGCGAATATCATGAGAAAAAACATCAACTGAAAAAGAAAATTGATCAATATCTGCTGGACGTTTTCCGTGCAATATTTCATTATTATTAATAAATAACTTAATGAATATCTGTTCTAAATCCACATTTAATTGACATTCGTTTTGTTTTATTTCAAGTAATTGTCGATAATCATTTGCTGTTTTATTCCATTGATGCTGATAGTAGAGCATATATCGTTTTAATATTAGCAATAAACGAGAATGAGCAATTGCAATGGGAATGCAACAGTGACATCCAATATATGATGAAATTTCATATGACCATTCTGTTATATGCTCGAGTAGAAATGTTGAATAGGATGTAGATGATCGAGGAATGAGAAAATCAAATATTTGTTTATTATTTAGGGTGCAATTGACAGACAGATCTAACTCATTTAATAATGGAATAATCATTGTTGTTGTTTGTATATTTATTTGTTGCTGTTTTAACCATTGAAGTAAAAGATTTGCCGATAGAATCAAATCCCAATCAGCATGAGGTTGATCATATACATCACGAAAATGTGGAAGATAACGACGAGCAGCACGAGAACCGATTAAAATTGCTTTTTGATGACTCACGGATGAGTGATCGAGTTTTTGTAGAATAATTTCAATTTTTGATAAATCTGTTATTATAGACATTGTCCGTGGTAACTGATGTAATGTGTGATTTCTAATGCTGTTTTTTTCTTCTTCAAATAATCGACGTATTGATCTCATCTGTTTTTCATTCTAAAAGTCTTTTTTTTTTTAAATGTATTTGTAATTGAGTTTGTCTATACTCTTCAAAAACATCCATAAAAAAAAGAATTTTTATTGTGTATGCTTCATATTTATATGATTTTACTACGTGTTCTGTTCTCTAGATGTTGGCTCATTTTTGTTATTCTTGCTTTACATTATATGTAGTTATAGAAAGAGAAAAAAGAGAAAAATAAAGAAACTAAAACATAATAATGTAAGCTTTTTGGGGTTGTTCCCGATAACAGGCAGGATCAAGAGGTTGACAAAAAAACGTGTTAAAAGTTTCAAAATCAACGTTTCTTTTTTGTCGTTTAAACGCGTTTTTCTTTTATCCATCCGTTCGAAAAGGCGTTTTTCGGAATTTCCCGACACGTTAGAGAACGCGTTTTTCGATAAATGTGAACAACAATGAAAACGTCAATTAACGCGTTTTGAAATGATTCAGAAATAAAAACAGAGGGAATATACAGAGGTTTGAACCAATCCCTCTGTTTTATGGTAACCACACCGCGCTAGTATCGTGCGCGGGTCGTCGCGGTAATGTCGTGTCACACTGTGTAGACATGGACAACGAAACTTACTAAAGAACATTTCTAATACAAATATGTATCAACTTAGAAAACAGTTAATCAGAAATAAACAGAGATTCAATTGTAGAGTACTGGTCCGCTAACGCCATTTAAGGATAGTCGCTCAATACTTTTTTTGATAAGAAACCGCCCGGTTTTCATTTTGCATCTGTCAAGAACGCTTTGTAATTTTTTAGATATAAAAAACGGAAAAGCGTTTTATAAAAGGTTTATTGATCTCAATAAACCCTTTTTGATAGTTTATTAATCTACGACTGTCTTTTAGAGTGTATAGTTGGTTTATCTATTGCTTTCTTGAAAATGTAAATTGTATTTTCGAAACGCCGAATTTTAAATAAAAATTGAATAATGGAATTAAAAATAGCTGCTGTTATTATCTCTCTTGTTTTAAAATTCTTAACCGTTAACAAGCGTAACAGCCGGATGTCTAGTTCGCCAGGATATTATGAGCAATTTAAACGACTTTACTAGCGTTTGTTGATAGCTGAAGTACCGAGCGACTCTCCTTAAACAGCATTAGCGGACCGCGCAATGTTTCTGTCAAATCATGCATTCTCTGCTGTGTTGTTTTAAAATTTACCATACTTTCTCTAGAAGCGCATGAATTATTCTAGACTCTTACTGCTCCTATTTTTAAGTCCAAATTCGTACTCTACGGCTTGTCCACGTAACGGTACACTTCGCTGATCAAGTTTTTGAAAAAAATTTTTTCGATATCGGAAGTTTTGAACACATGGTTATATGCAATTTTTTATTCTAAGAACCCGTTTGAAAAAAGTTCATTTTTCATTCCAAAGATCTGATTCTGAACTTTTCAGAAACCGGATTTTTAATGTTTCAACCAAAAACATTTTTTAAAACAAGTTTCTAAAAATATGCTTTTGTAGAGAATTAAATTGGCGTATTTGTGTTTGAGTTTACTAGCTATGTACAAATTGTACATAGTTATACGGTTTCCGACTTACTATCCAGTTTTTCAGCTCTTATTTTGATACAGGAACTTTATTTTTTCGCAGATCGATCAAATATACAAAGAAAACAGAAAGCGTTGAAAGTCAAAACTTTACCATCGTGTTAAGTGCCTCTACTGTGCTTGAAGAAATTACAAGAAATTAAAGAATTCCCAAGAGCGCTCGAAGAAAAGGGACTTTTTGCGTAACGCCGTGACGCGACACTTAAATCCTTCTCAAAACCTAATGCAATATCCAAAAAACTTCATTTTCACAGCATAAGTAGAGCATAATGAACTTTGAACGAACTTTCTAGCTACTTTAGTTTCCGAGGTAACCGAAGTCTAGTGCGTCCAAAACGTAACGCCATGACGTTTGGACAAGGCGTCTATATCAACCGATGTTCTTTTGACACAAAAGAACATTTATACACTCTAGTTCAATTTTACATAAAGTATCAGCTGTTTTTGAATTCTGATCTCCCTTAAGGTAATTTAAAATTAGGTTGAGATTTAATTTTGGCTATAACACGTTTACTTGAGAAAAGTAGTCCTGCACAGTTTTTCTGGATTTTTGCGCTAAACTCGATAGTTTTATTAACATGTCAAATCAACTACATTTTATGTGGAATGATAGTAAACGTTTTATTATATACGTTCAATAAAAGTTGTTAGTCGTTGAGATGTCATTTTTGAGCAAAATATAACCATTTCCTGACTTTTATTATTCTATTTCAATATGAAGTGGTTATTGCTTGTTACTATTCTATAATTATATTCATTATCCGTATTTTTTACATTTTTTACAGCATAGATACATTAAAGAAGATTTTTTATGGCTTGTAACATAAAACACCCTTTTTTGATAGTTTCTCTACAGAGTGCACAATTTCTAGCTAAATAAAGCACGTTTCTCTTCTCTCAATGTGAACTAGCTGAACACATTCTCTTTCTGAAAGGAAAAAGATGAACAGCAGTGATAAACCAACATTCACATTTTTTATTATTACTTACTCATTGTTAGCTTTATTGGCTATGGTGGGTTTCATATTTAGTATAACAGTTATAATAATTACGTATCGACATCGATGTTGTAGAACATTATCCAATTTACTTTGTTGTAATTCATGTTTATGTGGTGCTCTATACTGTACAATGATGTTAGTTAATATTCCGTATGGTTTTATATCGATTGAGTACCGTCAATCAACAATATCATGTCAAATACGTGGTCTCATTCTAGGCATAACATGTTCATCAAAAGCCTACTCATATCTTATTCAAGCTATTAATCGGTATATCTATGCTATTCATTACAATAAACGATGCTTGCTCACATATCGTACAACCTATATTTTTATGTTTATACATTGGCTAGTGAGTATACTTTTACCATTGCCTAATTTAGTTTTTCATGGTATTACTTATCATACAGAAACACGTTTGTGTGTCATAACAATGAAACGTTTTCCAACGGCACTCTATACTATCATTACATTTTTTTTCATACCCATTTTGTCTATCACATGTTTATACGCCATTATTTTAAAACATTGTCGAACAAAAACAAAATCCATTACACAACGTAAAAAATCAATATCATTCACAAAAAAATCTCGTGATCTAAAATTATTTCAAAATATTCTCATACTCATTTTTATATTAGGGATAGGCGGGTTTCCTTGTTTTGTATTACTCATACTGGATAAATTAGGTAAAACGTGGCCATACTATTATTTAATTGTCGTTCTATCACTCTCATTATCTGTGACGTGTGAAATGGGCGTAGTTTTGTTTTTAAACAAACGAATTAAACAAATTTTGTTCAGATATATCAATTATAATCAAGAGACACGTCGACAAAGCCAGAAGTATTTACAAACAAGCGCGACACTCACCCGCCGTAACGCATTAAAATCATTAACACTTTCAGAATCATAGCAGTATAGTCCTATATCCTGCTTACGACACTGAAAATATCACTTCGCTTACAGCATTGCGTGGTCAAACCATTTCGCAAAACATATTGGTAAGCAGTTATCATACAGTATAGTGATAGAGCTATCACATGCATTATTCTCTTTTAGCAGTGTCTATTCGTCGAAAATTGCGAGTTTTAACAATAAACTGAAACAAGATGTCAAAATATTCAGTCTGTTCAAACAAAATTTGTTTCACGCTCAACACGCAAGAGAATGACATAAATGAAATCAGATGACACGATATTGATATTTTTTCTTTAAGAACGATCTGTTGACGAATCTCAGTGTTGCATTTGATGTCGATGAGAAAAATCTCGACATATCGAGAATGTTAGAAGTCGAAGATAATCCTGATGTTTGATTTTTTATTCTACACCGTAGCGCAAAAGACGCACTTTTCTAGATATTGTGAACATCTTACAACCGACTGAGAAGATAATCTATGAATCTGCCTTTTACCACACATTTAATGACGCTAACAAGAAACAAATGTAGTGTTCAGCAGTCTCGTCACCGACAACGGAGATGCAACTGCGAAATAACTTCAAAGAATCACCGAGCAGTAAAACTTACGTAAAGTGGAAGGAAGATTCTAAGGGACAATAATGAAATCGTTTTAAAATGAGATTCGGATCTCTCAAGATTTCGTCCTCAAGTGTCAGATCCCTGATCCGAGAGGCCTCTCGTTCGGAACTGTTTAGCCATGAATCGCTAGAATAAGACGCGTCTCCGAAACAGCAGTAATTCAAAAAGCGTAAATATTACAGCATCCGATGGTCTTCGATTAGAGTAGAAACAAACTGCCGTTGCTCCATATAAAGCTCGACTGATTGCTTTTTACTTCGGTAATGTCTGTTTCTTAACATATTAAGAGATGATTTGTAAGCGCAACGAGAAACCGCATAATTTTTGAAAATTTAGATTTCGATGAGACATATCTCATTCGATAGCCCATCCAGAATAACCGACAAATTACAATTTTAACAACTTGGAACCTCTTGGTTACTGAGTTACGCCATGTTTACAGAAAAGAATCTCAGTTCTTAAAAGAACTGAAATTCTTTTCGAATGTACAAAGGCAGTGAACGTCGATACAAAGAAACAGGTATAAAATGAGAGACAAGTATTAAGAGAGAAGCTAAGGAAACTGAAAATAATTCGCAGTATTCGTCAGCAGATATTTGATCAATCAGATAATAGAAGTAAGGGAAAACGAGCAAAAGAAATGAAGAATAAACGCTCCATCGAATATCTAAGGATGTTAAATAATTGCTGAGATAAAACACTGCACAGCGGTCACTCGTTTCCTCATTTTGTAAACCTATCTGTGACTTTCAGTTAATAGTTATAGCCAAAATTGTTATCTCGTCTTATTCG